ATGTGGCTTATATTTTGACCTTTGTGTCAGGCTTTGATTCTGAGGCATTTGGCAGCATCTGTGTGCAATGACTGGAAAGCAGCTTGCTCACAATATGATTTAGTTGACATTATTTCTTTGCTTCCATATTACCCCACTTAGGCTGAGACTTCCCCCCATATTCAAGGAATGAAGACTGGCAATGATCCATTCTTTCTGTGTTACTGTTTCAGATCATGATTTTAACAAAACGTTTGAAACTAGAATGCACTTTTACATTTTCTCCTTTCATCTCTGCCTCTTTGGATTTTTGGCAAACATCAAGGCAAATAAATCAGACCCACCACTGCAAACCCATCTGCTTTCAGGGACATGTAAACCGCCCAGTCTGTGAGATTTTTTTACCATAGATCTAGCTCCAACATAGAACTAAAGAGGATCCCTGTGGAGTAGGAATAGAAGGCACTTTCTAAGTTCAAAATTTTTTTAAGCTCTGAATCATTTATCTGCTGACTGTGGCTAGGCCTCATCTGCATTAGCATTTATAGTGACACTAACAAATTGGCATGATACTACAAAGCTGACATGATTTTGCAGTGGATGAAAAGTGAAAATGCATTTATACATTGGATTTGACAATAGGGATTAATAAGAACAGATGCTGTGTTGTTGTAAAAAATATAGCAAATTAAGTTACAGTCAAGGTGTTCATTTGTCAGAATATTACTTTTACACTTCATCTGGCACGAGAGTCACATGTGAAACAGATATCCACACTAAAATACCTTTCCAGTTGTTGATAGCCCAGAAATTGTCTCATAAAAAATAAAAGGCTAGGTTGTCCAAACCTGAATTCCTAATACTTGACACTTGAATGCTATATTCAGTTCTTTCTCATATCAAGTAAGTAAGTGATGATTCTCTTTGAATAGGAATTAAGAGGATTATGAACATGCCAGGGTACATACATTATGCTGGATACTCTTAATAACAGGCTGTAAATAAAATCCACTTAAAATGATCAGAAGTTAGTTGAACTACTTATCATACCTCTCAGAGTTGGCTTTAAACTGATCTTCAACAAGCTGAATTATATCCTTTGTTGGACCATGGATTTTATCACACTAGAGATGAATGTCTTTTTTGAAGATAAGTTTAGTCTTATAACTTAGTGGTTTGGAAATAAAGGAAAATTTTTGAATGGCAAACTAAATAGAAATTTAGTTTCTATGTGTTGGTAAGGTAAAGGGTGTGGGGTGGTAGGGGGACATAAAGCTCAACTTTTAAGACTTTATTCCAAACTCCTCACTACTACATTCTGTTTCCAGGCTGAGTTGGCTTTTTTTGTGCTGCTCAACCTGACCCCTCCTTAGGCAAGTGGAAGATGATCTCAAGGATGTTGCCTACTAGTCACATTCTTCATGGTGGTGATCCAGAAGGGGCACATGCAATAGTGGCAGTGACATTTGTCTTCTCCATAGCATTGATTTCAACCCTTCTGTGATTCTCAGAAGCTAACTTTCAAAGTAATGCTAGAAATGATAGATGCTCTGGCAGTTTAGATTCTACTCTCCTCTGCCCTTTCTGTTTTCCTTCTGGGTATTTTTGGGTATATCTGGGGCCAGAATGTGTACTAGTTGATAAAAACATCACTTTATCCAAATAATTGTGCACTTTTGCTTTTATTCATGGATTAAAAGAAACAAGGATAACTTAAGATATGTAAGATACAGTGGTAAATTCAGAACAGCTGTTCATTATCTGGAAGCTCTAATAATAATTTTCATGATATCCAAAGAAAAACTGTGATTTATTTTATTTAAATTGTGCAAACACAGGAGGATGTTTAAATATGTATTTACCCAAAATTTTGAAGTTACATGTGGTTCTTAACAAAAAAATAATTATTATTTTCATTTCTTTAATGAATACTCAATTTATGGTAGGCTAAGCACTTTAAACACATTATGTTATTCTAAACAACATGAATTTGATATTGTCATTCCATTTTACAGATGAGGAAACTGAAGTTTAGTGAGATTAAATAACTTGTCTGAGACCCTATAGGTATTAAGTGGAGTAGCCAGAAATAGACAAACTGAATTTGTCCCCAAAGCCACTAACTACGTCACCATCATCCTGTACTGAGGCTCAGAAAGGGGCTGCATTGACTGGGAAATAAATCATGGGTTAAGCTGTAAATCTCTAGATATTGGTGAAAGAGCTGCCCATGAAGGGCTGACTTCTTCCCTCTTCTTATTCTTAAGCTAATTGACAGAATTTAAGGAGTCTCTGCTTATGGGGGCCATCTGGGAAAATGACCTTATGTCAGTTTTGGTTGTGCTATGAAGTGTTTATCCATATTAAAAAAATGTTTTCACATGAAACCTTTTAATTGCATATACTTAGATGATGAATTAGTTGGCCTGTGTATTGTCTTTCTCTCTTCATTTCTCTCTTCATTTTATTTCTTGTAAAAATTGACAACTGTATTGGAATAAGTCTAAAAAGAAGGGAATTAATATTGAAGAGAAAAATCATTTTATTCTCCTTTTATAGAGTATTAGGTTTAGGGACTCCCTGACTCAAATATTTGTTGAATGAATAAATGAGTGAATTTGGGGTAGGAGGTGTGGATTCCTGAAACATATACTGTTCCTACTGCCAATGCTATGGGTAATTGGGAAGTAGTTAACTTTAGCTTTCAGTTCAAAAGCAATGATTTTCTTTAGTCAAGTACCCAATTTCATCTATTAAACACATACTATTGATAAGAGTTTAGTGGCCTTCACTTCTGTGAAAGAGATGGTGAACAATGTAGCAAGAAGCTTACTTAGTTCAGAAAGTGAAGTTCCAGAAATTATTCCCTTAGTGACCCAACAGCAGTAGTATGTAGGAAGAAAACCCTAGAAATACATGTACAAAGAAAGTATTTAACAGTAATTCTAGGAAGGGAAAGCTTATTAAGTAAGGAAAAGTGTATGCTTTTTATTTTCAGTTGGGTTTTCCCCTTTATTTTTTATAATAAGGAGGATTCAAGTATGCATAGAAAAAATTGCTCAGTATTATGCAAAGTTACTTTCTAGAAATTTTTTGTCAATATCCCTTTCTCTGAGTCAGACTGTTGGTATCATTTAAATGCAGCATAATGCCAAATGAGTAGGCAGTTTCTAGGGAGTACAGTCCAATGATTTATCTCCCTTAACATCTTGAAAAGTGCAAGAAGAGTTATCCTATGAACCACTGCACCCATGTTTGCCCCTGAAATAGTTCACAGTAGTTCACACAGTAGTAACAGTTTCATAGGTCATCTTTCCAAATAGTTTCTAACTTGAGCTGTTACTGTGTGGAAAGGGAACCCTTTCTATTGGAAAAAACCTGGGTGGTGAAAACTTTCCTCTACCTGCTACTAGATCTCCTACTTAGACTCCATATCAAACCAGAGGACACATACATTTCATAATACTTCTCTTTATACATTTCCCGTGTATTTTACCTTGTTCTATACCCCCATTTTACCTCCAAATTTGCTATATCATTAAAAACTATGGTTACCTTGATAAATATAAATTTTCTATGTATCCTTTTACTTACGTTATAGTAAATTTTTTAAGTTCCATTTATATTTAGCTTTCGTGTTCCGTTCCTGTAAGCCATCAGAATTTCCTCTGGACTGATTTGTAATATATGTGGTATTTGTTAGCAAATTTGGAACTTTTCAGTTTGTGTCCTTTCTCTACATGATGTAAGATGTAATTGCCACCCAGCATGATATAGCAGCTGAAATGAAGAAGGCAGCAAGAAAAGGCACTGGCTTGGAGATAATCAGCTGCCGCTTCTTATATATTTCTTAGCTAGAGAGAGAAACGGAAATAGCATTCATTAAAGTAACTCATGTATTAAACATTTTTCTCCTTTCTCTGTTTTAACTGAGAGAGGGAGTTTGTTCAAATCTTTACGGAAGCAAGACATTAGACAATAGTTTTAATTTGCAGTAGTAGTCCTTTTTGATTCCTTAAATTCTATAGAATATTTTCATCATTCTGTTTTCTTACATTTAAATAGATAAGTAACATTAACAGGAATAAAATGAAATCGAATGATTAACCATCTTTTATAAGTCAAAGAATTTTACTCAATTTGAGCTTTTAGAACTTGAATCTCTTGGAAAAAAGTCCCTAGTTTATCTTTAAAGTATATGTCATCTTAATAGTTTTGGACTTTTTATTTTCTGGAGTGAGTTGGGTAGCCTGGCACAGGAAAAAAATTGGTATTATTTTTACTTGTTAAATTACTGTGGTCTGAGTTTTCACTTGTTAAAAATTCAGAAAGATAATATGGGGTATTGGGTAGATGTAGAGAAACACATACTCTACCATTATTGGGAGTATGTATTGGTACAACTCTGGAGGGAAAGCACCTTTATCAAAAATGGAAATGCATATATCCTTTGACCTAGCAATTCTACGTGTAGGAACCTATACTGGAACATTATGTATAAAAATGTTCTTAGTGATATTGTTTTGTAATGTAAATAGAAAAATGCAAAAATATCATTAGTAGGAGAATATCAAATAATGATATATCCATCTGCACCTCATTCTTTTTAATAATAGCTGTTCTTAAAGAGAATGAAGTGCATTTGCATGTATTGATAGGAATATTGAAAAAATTCTTCTATCATGTGAAAGGAGCAGATAATTTGCATCTATTTGTGTTTCAAAAAGCAAAAGATGGAGAGATGTGTATTCAACCTCCGTCTCGTGCCTCTCCCTCACAGAGACATACATTCACACATCTCTAGGTAGATGGATGGAAGGGTACAAAAGAACCTAGTGATAGTTTTTACCTCTGGTGAGTGGGACTGTGGGTCTGGGATGGTAGGCAGGGTTTTGGGGGAAGGGGCAGTACTTTTTTTGTGCCATTTGGATTTTTTTTTTAAATATGTGTTTATCTTATTTTTCATAATTAAAACAATTTTAAAAAATTAACGACCAGGTTTTTTTTTTTTTCTTTCTCAGGACTCAGCCCAGGAGAGTGTTATTACTCGAGATATCCATCGTACATTTCCTGCACATGATTACTTTAAAGATACTGGAGGAGATGGCCAGGAATCGCTTTACAAGATCTGCAAAGTAGGGCTCTCCACCTTGTTTTTTCTAACTTATTTTACAGGGATGTTTTCTGGGAACCATCTTGAATACTTTTAGATCTTTTTTATCTGTATTCATTTCTTATTTGCACTATGCCATGTTTTCTGTGTACACTTACACCACCGGGTCCTCAGTACTGTGTCCTAGAGGGGACATTTTGGCTGTGTGTTATGTACCTCCTTGTGAGGGAAGAGGCACCGTGTGGCCTCAGGTTGGCTCTGCTACTCACAAACGGACAAGGAGCACAAGGTCCTCTTAGGCTGGTGCAGTGAAGGCTCAGAGGAGTTCCAGTGACTTTGCCTTTCTGACAGGATAATGTAGCAGTTGTCTCAGTTTTTGACCATAGGCAACAATAAGAAACAGTACTGTGGTGCCTGATTTTGAATATTGGTCAGTTCTCTGATATTGTTCATATACTCTGAATCTTTGTGCAGTTTTGATGTCCCATTTTGAATTATTTTTTTCCCCATTTAGTAGGCCTGGAAGAAAACTATTTCCTGATTTTCAGTAAATATGCTCTGCTTGGATACATACATTCTGTCTCTTGTGGAGAATAGTTATCAGATTAACTTCTCAAGGTTACATCAGAAATGCAGAATGACTTTTTAAATCATGATATATAGTCAACTCATACTGTAAGTGTTGAGACCAAAACTCAAAGTTACAAAGTCCATTAAGCAAAGTTTTACTCTGTATCCTTAAACTTAAGATGTGTTATGACGTGTGATGGGTATACTTAATACTGTCCTCACCTACCATTCTAGTAGAGATTGTTAATGAAGAGTGAACTGCACAAAAATCTTGTATTATGGAGAAAAGGCACACACCAAGGGTGATTTGTAAGTGAGGTCGTCAGTTGCTGGATAATCAAATTTAGCCTTTTATTGAGTAGCAGGGATTAGCTAGTAGGTTGTCAGAAGTATAATAATATACCAGTGTTGATTTATATTTACTGTTTTTTTAAATGGCACTTGTAAAAGCACTTGCCTCTGTAGGCTAACCAAATAGGATTGATATTTAATTCTGCAACTGGCAATTCAGCTTTCATTAAAGCCCTTTTTGAATGTTTGTGGTTTATCCCTCTGCCACTTACTGTCCTGTCTTGTCTCCTCTCCTCTCCTCTCTCCTTTCTCCCACCCCTCCCTTCTCTCCTCTTACTTCTTCCTCCTAATGTATTATAAATATACCACTGATCAGAAATCTGTTTTTATATGGGTATGTCATACTGACCTAGAAATGCATAAATAACTTAAAATCTGAGTGTGTACTGGTTTCTGGAAAGTGGTAAATCATTTAGTTTTAAAAATGACAAAGACCATTTGATCACCAGAAAAAAATGTATAATGTATTTATTATATGCTTGTAAAAGGCAAAAGTAATTATTAAAAAAAGTTTCTACTGGTTTTGTAATTCTACAAGCTGATTAGCTTCTGGCCTAAGTAAAGAAGATACTAAATTTCTATGGTTTCTAAGTTTATTTAAAAAGGCCTGGCTTATTATATATGGAATATTTTCCCCCTAACATTTAGAATATTTTCAGCCAGTCATTTTTCCCTCAATTTTTGGACTGATACTAGATACTTTTTTTGCACAACTAAAACAGAGGGTTCTGTGCATTTGAGGCCTCTGACTTAAAATTTTGCTCCATTGTAATAAAAACAGCATTTGCCTCATTATATATATTTAGAAAGGAAACATCTGAAACATTACTAAACATAAAGATGAAATTTAAATAGTTGGTGCATTTAATAGTTGGTAGATATCCCTTTCTTTGATATTACAGATAATAATCCAACCTTTAATTCATTTGAAAATATTCATTAGAATATTCACACAGCTTGTGTAGCCATTTTAGATTATCAGTGTATATTTTGCAACATGACTAGGCAGTTTTAAATCTCCTTCTGAGTAAAGAATATTACAAAAATGGAACTCTAAGATCTTATAAGTGCTGAGTAGCTTAAATTGCATTGAATTTTGAGAAAATGTGGAAAACAGAAGAATCATATTGAAAACACTTTAACATTAAAGAGAGTAAATAAAAGTTGCTAAGGCTTGTAATATTGTACTAAAACACATGTTTAACTAAACATGATTTCACAACATTCTGTGATAATGGAGAAGAGCAGAGATAAATATATTAGAAAATGTTAGAGAACCCAGAATTTGCTGGGGTCCTACCACGTGGACCACTTGGTTTGTAACTGACAAATTCCTTCTCTTGATCTGTATTTAATAGTCCAGCACTCACGTAGGGGAATCTCAGGTGGTGGTGGTGATAACTCACGAACAGGCTAGCGTACTTACAAGTAGCTTAGAGTTAAATATTCTCAGAGAAGTTATGCATTTCCTTTGCTTTTTGTGTGTATTCAGTTTGAGCTATAGTCATTATTTTCTGACCATCCCATATCCCTGAAAGTTACTATGTGTGACGTTTAAGGCTACTTAGTATGGTATACCTGTTCTATTATTTTCATTTTTAGGATAATAATCTAACATCATACCTCACACTCTCAGCAATATACCCCTGAGTTTGCATTCTGGATACCGTGTATAAAACTGAATAAGCATTTATAATGTCTTCATCTTAAATCAGCCACTTTGTTATATAATCTGTAAATAAGGATAATTTTGCTTCTTCTTTTCCATATGGAACTCTAAGATCTTATAAGTGCTGAGTAGCTTAAATTGCATTGAATTTTGAGAAAATGTGGAAAACAGAAGAATCATATTGAAAACACTTTAACATTAAAGAGAGTAAATAAAAGTTGCTAAGGCTTGTAATATTGTACTAAAACACATGTTTAACTAAACATGATTTCACAACATTCTGTGATAATGGAGAAGAGCAGAGATAAATATATTAGAAAATGTTAGAGAACCCAGAATTTGCTGGGGTCCTACCACGTGGACCACTTGGTTTGTAACTGACAAATTCCTTCTCTTGATCTGTATTTAATAGTCCAGCACTCACGTAGGGGAATCTCAGGTGGTGGTGGTGATAACTCACGAACAGGCTAGCGTACTTACAAGTAGCTTAGAGTTAAATATTCTCAGAGAAGTTATGCATTTCCTTTGCTTTTTGTGTGTATTCAGTTTGAGCTATAGTCATTATTTTCTGACCATCCCATATCCCTGAAAGTTACTATGTGTGACGTTTAAGGCTACTTAGTATGGTATACCTGTTCTATTATTTTCATTTTTAGGATAATAATCTAACATCATACCTCACACTCTCAGCAATATACCCCTGAGTTTGCATTCTGGATACCGTGTATAAAACTGAATAAGCATTTATAATGTCTTCATCTTAAATCAGCCACTTTGTTATATAATCTGTAAATAAGGATAATTTTGCTTCTTCTTTTCCAATTCTTCTTCTTTCTAAAAAAATCTTTTCCTTGTATTACTGCATTGGCCAGAACCTATATTCTTGTGTTAAAATGAAGCAATGATAGTAGGCATTCTTGTCTTGCTCCTGATTATAAAGGATATGCATCTAATGATTTACCACTAAGAATGGTGCATCTTACTCACATCAGCAATAGTTAAATAGACCTTTTTTTTAATACAGTGTTTTCCATGTGATGTAATGATTTCAAATTTACAGCGTATTTTCACATAACCTCATTTATTTCTGATAACTCCCTATCAGTAGAGCCTATATTAGAAGTAAAATAAGCTATGCTCTTAAATTGAGTCAGAAATTTTTAAGAGATTTTCAGTTACAATAAGTATAGAAATCAATTCTGGTTTCAAGGATATGAGAGTCTGACTTTGTAGTTGAAAAGTTTTCAGTGGCTCTGGTGAAATGAGAAATGATCTGAACTGTCAGATTAGAGGGAAGACTGTTAAAAACTTGCTGTCATGTTTTAATAGCCCTGTCAATTTCAGGTTTTTGCCTCTTAATATCTTTTTCAGAGTAGGAAGAAATTGAAATGGTTCAAAGATTATTCTGTTGTCTTAAACTTATGTGTGAAAGTTGAATTGAAAGCATAATACTAGAATTTATAGGATTTGGAAAATGAAAAGGTTTCCATTGTCTTCCCTTCCATTACCTCCCCTTCTTCCTTCCCTCATTTTCTAGTTAGATAATAACATATTTTAAAATAATGTCCTTGAAAAAATATTACTCCAAGTATCTTCAGCATTTTTCTAATTTACATATGATATAAAGTCTGTTTTTAGTTGGGAAGCAGGTTGGCACAGTTTAAAGGACTGAACATCAGGCAATCTGCTTCTGGTTTTGATTTCTCCCATAAGCAGATCTAAGTCTGGGAAAATCACATTTTGGATTTCCTCCTCAGTTAGTATGGGGTGTGCTAAGATTATCCCAATTATAATTTACTATGATTCTAAGTGTTGTTTTTTTAAAAAAATTCCTAAAATAATATTGATGAATGCAGAATGTAAAAATTTCTAGCTCAGAAATTGATATATAATGTATAATATTTGAAATAATATAATATAGCCCTGTCTGTCAATATCAGAGCTATAAAGGAGTATAAATTAACCTTGAAGACTTTAACCTGACTTACTGTTACTATGTTTCAGTGTGTTTCATGCACACATGAAATGGAGTACATTTAGTGATTTACTTTTAGATATATATCTCTTTATAAGACCTAAGACCAGTCAGTCATAGTAATAAGCTAAAATTATTTTTTACAACAGTGTAAATTGAATTGACTATTGGTATGCAAGGTAATTCGAGGCAAGTTGCTTTTTCTGCTCTTCTGATTAGTGCAACTACTTTCTGAAAAAGACATTACTGTTGTGAATTGAATGGGAGGTATTGAATATATTATAGAGAGATCAATATCCTTATTTATCTGGGTTAATAATTTGATAGGATAATGATTTGTTGAAGGACAAAAATAAACAACCTGTTTTATCGAATAATTTTCTCAAAACAATATTGGATTTAATACAAGTGCTAAAACATTTCAGGTATTTTGGTACCAATAATGAGGGATCTGCTG